CATTTATTTCAATTTATTTATTTTAATTTATTTTGACATTTGATTGGCAACAAAAAGCTGAATTGCATCAAATTAACATACTGTATATTCCAAATGAACCCGAACTTCATCTCACCAAAAATACCATACAATATAAAGCTACGTCTATAAATAAATTAGTATTAATATTTTACATTGAAAGAATATTGTAAACATAAAGAGCTAATATTAACAATATTAATATTAATATTAACAAATCTTTTTATCGCTGGAGAATCACACCTTACTGCTGACAGCATTTTTGTGCTTTTGCTTCTCCTCTGCTTTTATATCCATTTGTCCATTTGTTGTCTTTTTTTATTTTGCCGGAATGAATAAAATATAAATCATTGAATGTCACGTGCTGTAACATTTTTTTACCTTAGTTATTCTAAAAACTACTTTATACCTAGTTCTATTTCTTTTTGAAATAAGATTGTAATTGTAGGTGATATTATAGTAGTCGTAAATTGGAACGAACACGTCAAAGTATTTTAAGTTGTGTAACTTTAGTATTGACATATTTTAATGTTTTCTTTTAAATGTGTATTGCCTCCAATTAAAATATATAAAATTATTCAAATAAATAAATTATGGGTTTTAAAGTGCTTACCTTCTACAGTTATAACAAATGTGCATTCAGCACTATTGCCGTTGCAGTCCTCAGCTGTGTATGTTATATTGTTAGGTCCCAACTGGAGAGATGTACCATTCTCTATATTAGAGGATATTGTGCTATATTCACAACAGTTATCAGACGTTGTTGGTGTGTCCCAATAAGCTATGCCAGTAGACATTCCCGGCTCAGCACAAATAGTCCTATCTAATGGACATGTTATTTCAGGTGCCGTTGTATCTGCAAAATAGACATTATAAAGAAGAGAAAGAAAGAAATACATTATAATATAAAGCTGATTGTTATTTAGTTATACATAGCTGTCTACACATCTACTAACCTTCCTAAAATTACCTACTTTCTTTCTACCATGTACTTTATAATACATCAACCAAAAAATCATGTTTACAAGATGGTGTATAGTTAGTGTCTGTGAACAAGATAATTAAAAACAAAAAATCATCAATTGTATGCGTAGATTCCTAATATTGCTAAATCCACTGAAAGATGTGCTTATATCATGTTTTTTTTAATCAAGTAGTCTTACCAACAACATCCACATAGAAAGAACAAGAACCAGTGTTTCCTTCACCATCAGTTGCATTACACATTACTTTGGTACTTCCACCTTCAAACTCGCTAATCAAAGCCTGATGACTGCATACAACATCAGTTTGTCCCACTGCTATGTCTGTAGCTGTTGCCATGGACCAGTTACCAACAGCAGTGCAGTTATCATTGGCATCAATTGTAACATTGTCTGGGCACATGATCATTGGTGGTTCACAATCTGAAATTATTATTAACATTAGATACCATATCGAAATGTTTTCCCAATGGCATGTAATAATGTTTTGTTTAATGTGTTGTTTAATACAAACCTCTATAGTTGCATATAACCCAACTGAACTCAAAAAATCTTTCTTAGCTACACACAAATAGATTACTTAAGACACTGATCATAAAATAATATTACCAAGATGCATATGTGAAGTGCGACTCCAGGCATTAAGGCAATTAAACCAATGACACATGTTCCCACCATTTATCTCAATATGAATACAGCGAACCTTTCTTTCGTTTTATTAAACTAACCCATTTTTACATTGCAATGTGCACCCTGTTACATCACAGTAATGCTCAAGCACTATCATTACAGATAGCCTCACAATCATCATTATCACCATCATTAACATCACCATCATTATCATTATCATTAACATTATTATAATCTTTACTGTTATCATCATCATTATTGTATCTATTTTGAAAATAAAAACAGAAAATCATTTTACCTTCTACAGTAATAATGAATGTGCATTGGGCACCATTAGAATTGCAATCAACAGCTGTGTAAGTCACCGTGTTAGGTCCCATCCCAAATGTTGTGCCATTGTCTATATCAGGTATGGCGCTAACATCACAGCAGTTATCAAAAGTAGTTGGTAAGTCCCAATAAGCTATGGCAGAAGACATTCCTGATTCGGCACAAATCGTCACATTGGATGGACATATTATTCCTGGTGCAACAGTATCTTTAAAGGATAAATACAATATTAGTTGTAAGAACAAATCCATTATCAATTTACATGTGCAAACGAAATTCATAAAAATAGACACGAATAATAACTACTACTTTTGGAAATGAGCAGGATATTGAAGTATTTAACCAGTTTAAATTAGGCCAACTATAGTTTTTTTTTTTAATCAATATGAACGTTTAATTATAAGCAAATATTTACAAATCCCATTATTTAAAAAAGAAATTCATTTAAATACAGTTCTAATCCTAAGTAGAATGAGAAACCTAAAACAAGAAATCAAGGAAGGAATCAAGAAAAATTTATTGTTGACAATACAATGAGATACAGTCAACATTTGTGTCCAGGAGCTAATATAATGGATTAATAAATATAACATGATAAAAATTAGTTTAAACTATAGAACCAGAAAATCTAAAAAGAAAGATCAATTATTGCACAAATATTATATAACCAGATATTGCAAACTGAGACTTAACACCAAGAAAATATGGCAGGTTTGATATAAAATATAGGCATAATGTCTATCTGCTAAAGTTGCTATTAAATGCGAAAATAGAGTCATACACAAAAGATTAAGTTTGAGTCTAACGAGTTTAAAGGATGTGAAGCTTCATTAATGATCTTATCTAATTTACGTAGGACTGTCTGGTTATACATATCATTAATACCATCTAAATCAGCTTTAATAATTCTCTTTGCTGTTTTCTGTACATAAAAAATCTTGTGTTTGTTACATACCAAGAATGTAGAAATTGAAAGAACAGTTGCCTGTATTGCCTGCCAAATCTGAAGCACTGCACTGCACAGTGTAATTTCCTAAAGGAAAAGTACCAGGACTCAAATCACAGTCAACATCTACAACACTATCGTAGTTGTCGTCTGCTGTTACCGCATTCCAAGTGACATTTGCCTGACAGCTATCATCAGCGTCATGGGGAGCCAAATCATCCGGGCAAGTAAAATCAGGGGCGTCACAATCTAAAAGTGTATAAAACAATTATATAACACATGTACTGTATATAGGTAAACTAAAAAATGGACAAACACTTCTTGAAACAAAAAATCAATCGATTTACCACTTTTGTACATGTATCTATATAATATAGAAACTAAAATTATTGAGAAAATTAAACACAGATAGCGTTTGCTATCCTAAAACGTTTGGAAATGCATCTTGTGCAATCAATCATTCGGTAATGAAAAAAAGCTAGTTTGCATTAATCTATCATTAAAATCAATTTATACTCAGTGGATCAGAGTAACTTTTTTCGTATTATTCGATTAAATCTGGTAAAAAAACTGAATAGTACAATTTTTAAATATTGAAATATTGTCTATACTGACAAAGTTAGATTGAAAAATATGTAGGTACAGCAGTGATGTTTTCCCCTACCTGACGTGTTATCGTACCGAATACTCAGTACGTCCCCAAATACTAGCGATAAAAAATTCGCAAGTGATTCGGGTGGGAATCAAACCCACGACCTCCAGGTAGCCTGAAGTCTTGCGCTTGATGACTGTGATGAATACGAACCCTTAGTAGCAACGGGTATGATAACAAGTCACGTAGGCCAAAACATCACTTCTATGATATTTTCCTGACGCAAATTCATATCTTTATGTAGGTATACTATGCCATAAACTAGTGAAGTATCAAATACACAAAGGGCATCATACGCACCTCTGACAACCACACTGAACTGACATGTAGTCATGAGATTGTCACAGTCACTTGATGAGTACTCCACCACAGTAGTACCAATTTCAAACGAATATCCATTGGTATAGTTTGCATCCGCTACAACATTCTCACAACAGTTGTCAGTAACATTGGCTGGCTTCCAAGTAACGCTGGCGTTATTAAGACCGTCATCATTACATACATTCACATCACCAGGACATACGAGATTAGGCGGCAAGTTATCTATAAAAAATAAATTAATAATAATTGACATAATTATGTTATTATTAGAAAAAAAAAACACCAATGATTTAGTGAAGGAATTATGGATCTTGGTTTAGATACAGAATCAATAAACTTATGTTAAATTGTGAACGGAAGGAAAAAATAGCCAAAAA